GTGCAAACCATGCTGAGATGGCTGTTCCTCATTAGAACGTTTTGTTCTGAACTCTTATTGGACGATTTGCAGGTAACTTCTCTGTACCCTTTTCAAATGTTAGGCTAGATTTCGCCCAGATTATCGAAAAGTATACCCATAAAGTTTAATCGAATTTTAATAAGGTTGTGCGCGTATTACTATTCGACTTTGAGTGAAACACGCTAAAAAAAAATTAACATGAAAAAGTTGTTGTTCGAACAACTTTTTTTCCTTAAAAGCGCCCACTTTGCGATGTATGAAGAAAAGTTAGGTAATTATATTGCCTTTCATGAGAAAAAATATCAAGCAAATCTGAGGGGTACCATTTTTGGGAAAATGACTTTTAATTTTTAAATATATTTTTTTAGAGTGTAGAAACCAATTTTTTAATTTATTTAATTTTTTTTATAAAATTTCAGATTATTTGCTAAAAGTTCGCCATACATCACTTTTTTGTAGGGCTTGTCATTTTTAAGCTATATCGATTTGAAAAAAAAATCGACAAAAAACTTTGACCCTTATCAAATGTTAGGCGAGATAAATTTTGAAAAAAATAAGTACGCAAAGTTGCTTAAAATTGCTAAGTCTCCACACCCACAAAGTTCCATAAGGTTCTGAGAGGGTGCTGCCAACCACTGGATGAGTTGGCGTGAAATCCGTCATTTAATTTATCCTGCTGATATGGTAACAACTACCATGGTATTCGAATCAGGGAGTTGTAATCATTTTTGTCTTCAATTAAAATGAAATGTTAGGAAACATTTTTCGACAACACCTAAATACTAGATTTTTCAACTATGTAGGGCAAAATGCTCCATCTATCATGTAATATGCCCACACCAAAGGGATAGTATGCTCTATACTAAAATGAAAGTATGCCATATAACAAAGGTGTGACGTGCCCCAGAGCGTCATAATATTAGATCAAGAGCAAATTTTCATTATGTCGTAAGTAACATTCGCACCAATCCGAGAAAAATAAAGTTTTGTTTTGATGACCGAAAAGTTATTCCTATTTCCAAGTAAACACATATAATCTCATAGTGATAGCAATGTTTAACATATTTAGCAGGGTTTTAATCATACAAATGCAAATCGCTAGCTTTCATGCTAAAAATACTGGTTTTTGAGTCAAAAGTTATTATACGTCGTTTGGTGGCCCCTATTGTTACTTAAGTCAAAGTGTATTTACCAGGATATTCGGGAGAATTATCAATTACGTCTCCTTACGTGCAGCCCATTCATCATTTTAGGACCACCGAAATCATTTTAGCAACAAACAGTTCGATTTATTCACTTTAATAATGAGAAAGCGAAACGACGAACGTACACTTTTCACGGGTTTCTCAGCGCTGTTACTTAAGTCAAACGGCATCTCCATAGAAATTGGGTGACTTAAGTAACATCGAAAACTATTTTGATAGGAAGGTGATTACGTCAAAAAGCAATTTGACTGGTAAATAAATTTAAAAATGGGATTTGATCCTATATTCGGACAGTATATAATGTAATAGCAGGAGAATCGATTGACACTGATAGCTCGACTTTGTTTACCTTTGTTACATTCGACGTAATGAAAATTTGCTCTTGAGATATCTTATACTGCACAAAAATGGAATAAATACCTTCTTATACCCCGTTCACATTACACCGTATATCACGTGATATACGTTGTCTTGCAATGAGCACTCATACATCTAGTTTTCACTGGAAATCATATGTATGAGTGCTCATTGCAAGACAGCCTATATTACGTGATATAGACTGTAATGTGAACGGGGTATAATATATCAGGAATAACATTTGATACCGGCACAAAAGCTTTTGTAAACAAACTTTCTAAGGCCCTTTACACGCGAACCAAAGTACGCCCACGCAAACCAACAACATCATCGGATAGGGGTAACTATAACCTTTCCAAAAGTGGTATTGGTTTGTGTAGGCGTAGTTTGATTCGCGTGTAAAGGGCCTTAGAAAGTTTGTTTACAAATGCTTTTGAGCCGTTATCAAATGTTATGCCTGATATGCTTACCAATATGACGTAAAAAAATTCCATCACAAGGATGCTTTCAGGATTTTGTTTTAATTATTGATTTGCGACACTTGGGGGGAGGTAGCTCATCGATTCTTCCGGTTCGCCTCCTAGCATCGTGCTATAAGGTACCAGGCGATAACCAGGGTAGTCGATCGATAGCTCGATGACGTCATTTCGTTGGCGTCTGCAATGGGAAATTCTCATAGCAGGCGTTGACGATGGGACGTTGTCGAGTTGTTGAATAGCAACTATCGTGGTAACTCACCGATTACCTGTCGATCTACCAAATTTGGAAAGACGTCTGCATTGAATTGTCTCATATAATAATATTCCGCCCACTATATCACAAGAAATTGCGAGTAGCTGAGTGGAATGGAGATAAGTTAAGCATTGGGTACAGGACCAAGTCTCCCCTGGGTGGTGCCAGAAGATGAGCGCAATAGAATCATCAAGTTGCCATAAGGCACGGAATGAGACTATTGCATGGCTGGGTAGTCAAAGTCTTCCATTCGTTAGTCATTTCAGGTGGATTAGAACAGGTTTAGGTTTAGGGTGGGCGTTGGCCAGATTTGGATTTTTCAGATATAATCCTAAATAGGACCTAGATTATTTAATACACTAGTAACCTCAACTTCTGTCACAATGTTTCATTGTGACTAATCAGCGCTCAATGGGTAAAATATCAAAATTGCGGTAAATTTGAAAAAAAAGGTAACTTGGTGTGTAGAGCGCACTGCCCATTGGACGATTCTGAAGCCTGACCAAGTGAGTGGGCTACGGGTTTATTTGATTGTACGTCATTTCCAAGTTATATATAGATACATTCATACCATTGGCATTTTGTATTTGAGATAAGACAGAGACAGGATGCGGAGGGCCTGCTTAGGGTAGGGGGAGCGTAACCCATGTTATGGCTTCCATTTATTAAATAGTTCAGATAGGCTGGAAATGATAGGTTCATGGTGAGAAAATGTACCATATGGTGCCCGTTCACTGATCAAAATTATATTCAAATCGTCAGGCCCTGCCCTGGAATAAGGGGATTGACGATGATTTGTCAAGTTTCATTTTGCATTTGCATATAATTGTAAGTTTAGGTTTGCTTTTGTAATTGTTAGATAGATAGTTTGCCTCAATTGAAACATTGAGTTGTATAAACTTGACGAATCATACCTCTAAATAGTAGTAATTACAGTGCCGCATTATCTAACAACCACTGCCTGCAACTAATGTTGAGGGGTCGGCAGGGCTGATTACGGATCAAAACTAACATAACTCTTACACTGAAATGATCCCGAAACTAACGCTCATTCATTGCACTTTGAGTCATAAAGTAGTTTTATTTATTTTCCTACTAATCTATCTACACACTTAGTTTTTTCTACCGAGCTCGGCGGGGAGGGGGTTTCGCTGAGATCTCGGCGGGAGTGACATTTGATTGCTGAGTCTCGGATAATGCCTTTTCTAATAATCTGCCTACGTTTCTTTTCTTTGTTATCTACTTTATCCCCTTTTATTTTTCTGCTCTTCTTTCCTCTTCTCTTCTTTTGTTTTGTTTGTTTACATATAACTAATACTAATACCTCCTTGTTTTCTCTCTAATTTGTCTACTATGTCCCACCATCACGATGAGAGATGAGCTACCGTACATGGTACACGCTCATATACACTCCCAAAATAGTATGCCGCAAGTAAGTATATCACAGAGGCAACTAAAGATCCAGAAACGCCGATAACGCTGAAGATAATGAGCTGTGGTGATTTATATTACTATATAGTATTATTTATTTATACTAACCTAAACACAACGTGGGGTGACCACAATCCAAACGATCACTAACCAAAATAATAGACTTATCTTGTTTCAGAAGGCGTAATTTCGTTTAGTTCTGTTTCTCTCTTTTCAGCAAAACAACAACAAAAAACCTCTATAACTCTTCTCAATTCTTTTAATCTCCTACTATCCCCTATAAATGTATCGGAAACTAGTGGGACTGTCTGTGTAAACAGAAACAGGCCTGCTAGTGGAAGAAGGTCGTTATGCTATACGGTCTAGCATAGGCCTACGGCCAGGTTTCAGTAGGTACACACTCGCTTAACGGCAGATTGGTTTACAGTGGTCGACCAGGGTGTGTGCTGATAAATTACAATTACAATTACAATTATTGATTTGCGACACTTGATAGCCCATCAGTTTTGCATTTAAATTGATCCTGGATTCGTATAAATGCAAAGGGGTGTTTTGCCTCGATGGGGCGTTTTATACTACCCTACTTAACTCTTTATTAAATTAAATGGTACACATGGTAAGTTAAGTGATCTATTATTCATTCTTTGTATGTATAAACAATTTATGTGTTTGTGCAAATCCGTATAGGTGAAGCGTGCTTATTATGACGAAAATTTGACCAAAAACCCTATATATTTTGACAGAACTGTTTACACTCAATTTTGTTTTACGCGATTTTCATTTAGGATTAATACAGACATTTAAGTACCACTATATTTGTTGATTTTTTGTTTTATTTTTCTGAAACAAGTCGAACTAAATTTGGGTATGAATTTGAGATCACACAATCAAAAATATGGACGAAATGAAATCTGGTAAAGACAAAATTCTCGCGTCACTTTTCAAATAGACCAATCTACATTGATCGATTATATTAATCTACTCTCTCTTTCGTTAATAACTTGGCATAATTGCAGCCTTATTTTTTCTACATAGTCTGTTAAAATAAAGTATTATTAACCTCATTAGATGATAAGAACAGCTGAACATGTTTTTGAGCCGAGTTATTAACAAAAGAAAGAGTCGATGAAGATAATTGATCAATGTAGATTGGTCTATTTGAAAGGTGACGCGAGAATTGAGTGTATGTGTGCATGGTTGTTCAACTCCTTTTTCAATACGTATTGCTTGATTTAATATTGATTTTCTTTCTAGGCATGGGGAGCTCAATATATTTCATTTGTAGACTGTGGCAAGGTTTCATTATCCAATCCAGTTCGTCAAAGTTTATATTTATATGAAGATGCTATTGATGGTGGAAAACCCAAGGCTCTAACAGCTGCCAAGAGATTGAAGCAGATTAACCCATGCGTTGTAAGTGACTATGCTACATTATTCCAAATGATTAACGACATTTGGGTTAATGTAACACAACCGTTGTAATTATATTACATTTAAGTTTTACTTAATACACTATTCTTTATGTAGTTTCAAAACATCTGATCTTGTTGGCTCACAAAGAGCTGTACACACGATAAATATTGTTATTTCTGAAATACAATAAAGTGTTATAAATCTGCGCAGTTTTTAAAATTTTCAAAATAATTATGAATTGTATAAATATAATTTGAATAGAATTGGACATGTATGTACACGGCCAACCAGAACGACTCAGCGACTAAATTCAATTGACTCAGAGCATTTTCTTTCCATACGAAATTTATTCATACCGTATTTGAGAAAACCTGCAGGAACTCATAGCAAATGAGTAACTGCAGGTTTTCCAAAATATGAGTAAATTTCGTATGGAAAAAAAATGCTCTGAGTTAATTGAATTCAGTCGCTGAGTCGTTCTGGTTGGCCGTGTAGGTATTAACCACTTGTGTATGGGAAAAATGGAAATCTAGGTAAAATCGCAATATACTGTACATTTTTTGCGAAATGCGCGGAATTAGGCACTGCGCAGAACTATGGCACTTTACGGTATTTAGTTTAGAGTAAATTTTCAATATTAGATCCTTTTATACTGGTGTAGTGCACGCGTTGAAAAATTTATTTCTCGCGATTCCTAAACCGTGGACCCCCAGTAATCTGACCGTTTTTAATCTGAACACTTGGTTCAAACTAGAAATACTCAGAGGGAGAGATAGGCGGAGAAAACAAAATACAATTCGGCAGCAGGGATTTGTTCCTAAATTATCTTGCAACCCTTGCTAGAAGCTAGTATTTCAAATGACTTTTATTTTTGATTCGATTTACGTGCAAAATAACAATTGATTGCATCGCAATATTTTGCACATTTCTTGTTGCCATTCATTAACCAACGAAGATCAACGAAGATAGAGTTAGAATATTGTTTATGGTTCCAAAAACTAGTTGAATTTGAGAAGCACACAAAACATAAAGGTGATTGAATTTCTGTTCGATTGCAATACTCTCATTTCCGTTTAAGACGCAAAAGATCCAAATTGAAATAAACTTTTGCTCAACTAGTTGATTGGTACATGTTTTCAAAGCGTTCCCCAATAAACAAATACCATAAACGAACTTTATCCCGGATGGGTAAACTATCCCACAAATGGTTTGGATGATACACGTCGTTAAGCTCTCTTTTATGGTCATTTTAATTAGTATTATTAAGAACAGCTGTAGATTCATCTAAATTACCGTTGGAGACGAACCAGCCCAGGGCTGAAAGTCTCCTTAATAAAGATATAAAAAAATCTTAATTACCGGCCGCGAATGGAAAATCCACGCTCCTCTCAACAAGATCTGAAACAGCTTGCTTCGAATATTTACTCCAGCACTTCAATTTTACAAAATTATCGTTATCGTTAACATGGTATAAGACATTAATCATGATCGGTTATTTTCAAATCCCTCCCCTTGGCTAGTTTTTACACCTTGCTGTTAGTGGGCGGGCTTAATTTCATGCTTTATAGTGGAGTGTTGGAGACAGTAGGTTTATGGCCAGCGTTGCTGGCTCATGCCGCGATAGAATGGCGCCATGGGCAGGCAATGGAGATTACTAAGCTTCTCCTCTCTGATGAACCACTGCATGAGAAAACCAAAAATCTAGTCCAGAAGTGATAGTATCACACTTGTTACTCCTTTGTTTGAAAGCCACGTTTTAGTACGCTTACGTATATGTACTGACGTTGGGTGCGATACTGGCAGGTTTTGCCGCAAATCACTCTTATTTTCACCATAGCCGGTCGAACTCCAGACGAAACTAGAACCGCACTACCGTTCATACTGGCGACAACGCTCTGATAAGACAACGAAACCTTACCCCCAGCTCCTCCCCTGATCCTATCCTTCGACAATGTACCTCTCTAACCTCGAGTAAGCCGCGAGTATTCGGCCCAACTCCTACTAGACATAGAATTAAGTGAATTTTGTTACAAACAAAGAACAATGAACTTTCGGCTCCGTAAAGCTAACGCGATTGAGCCTTCCAAATAAACGAACTAGATAAAAAAAATTATTTTCTTTAATTTAAATTTCACACATTTTTCTTCCGTTGAAAATGAATACTGTTTGACAATAATAAACTTTTCGTGTTGAGGCTTAAAAGGCTGCCCGAAAAAAAAATTACAGTGAAATTTTCAGTGGAAACAATGCTCTAACATTAATATTTATTGTCGACAATAAAAATGATTGTTATAATGTTGTACTCTTCCGAAAACGGCAAAACTGCTACCTAGCTGTACAATGATAATAATAAAATGTTGTTACAATGATTTTTATTGTATTTTTCTTTTATTTTATTGTTAACATGATTCGATCACAACGGCGCCGGTGGTGTTGTGGTAAGCGTGATTACCTCTCACCCCAGCAGGTCTGGGTTCAATCCCAGTCGGCGCCGCCGGGATGTTCTGAGGCATAACATCTCTGATTACGCCTTCCTTCGGATGGGAAGTAAAGCCGTTGGTCCCCGGTTCATGAGTTGATGGGTCGATAGGTAGGGTCCAGGTGTGGGAGCTGCCTTCCTGGCACGTCGGTAGTATTGGTGCTCAGCACGGAAAACAAGATCGACGAAAAAACAAACCAAAGGAAAAAAAAAAATGATTCGACCACGAACAATAATGAACAACTCTCTTACAATAAAAATTGTTGTTACATTAAATATTGGTGTGTTTTCATTGTGGGTTACTTCACGAACAATAAAAATAAATCTGATTGAAGCATGCAGACTATGAGAGGGTCAGCAACACTGCCAATGTAATCAAGATAGGCGCTGCTCGTATGGCTCTTGCTTTGACAGTTCGTTTGGCTCTATTCGTTGCCAAGTCAATTGAACGCCTACGACCAGATCGGTTTGAGTTGAACTCAACTCTTCTGCCTCATCTAAATCCCGCTTATGCAGACCTTTTCCGTGCAGTCAATAATCATACAATAATAATAAAAAAACCCCACTTGAAGATGTCAGGAAATAACTCTCAGGTGGAAGCATATTTCATGGGTGATTCTCTCCAGTTGAATGCATTAACTTATCAACGACGCTCAACCACCAAGGAGACGTGACCTAGAGAGATCGAGTGCAGGGGAGTTGGCCTCCATTTCTCACAAGTTCCGGATCGAATCTCAATCCATAACCAGTAAAAAAGGACTCACCCGTAACACCCCCTTCCCTTCCCGGGGCGATGTTTTATTTTTTCGATTTATTTTTAAAGTCGATAAAGTAGATCTGTCAAGCCAACGCATACACTCTAAAGTACACTGTTATTTTTTTAATCAATAAATTCGCCAACCAACAGCAAAATAACAATAATATATAATGTTATTGAAAAAAAATTATATGTGGAAATCACGAAAATTTCATTGTTAAGGTACTTAACAACCCCCCTTTTTTATTGTAAATTTTTCATTTACCATGAAATTTACTGTTTTGTACAACATAAATCAAGGTAAATTTATTGTAGACGTAACAATATAAATCATTATTAAGACAATAATTTTCGTCTTATTGTTACATTGTTTTTTATTGTATTTTTGTTGTTATTTTTTTCGGGTGTGTCCCCGAAATTCGGTTCACACGTATATAACGGGTTTTCCATTTTATTGTAATCGGATTCCGAAAAAAACTGATAGTGTATTTTTGAATCTGGCTTAGAAATAGCCCATGAATAAAGTTCTTGGGCCATTGTTGTATGGTGGCCTTGCAAACTCGCCTTCGCAGCGTTTTGTTTCAATACTCCTCCCAAAGCATCACAAGGGCCCTTTCCATGACAAGTTGCGAAAAAATTCCACTCGGCAGCAATGCCAAAATCTTTTTGCATGTTGCATAAATTAAAAGCGGCCATCTTATTTTTATTTTGGCTTCCTGATCCAGTAAATCTGTTGTAAGCCTGGCAATTTACATTTTATGGACGCTAGACAATGCGTAAGAAATAAACGAACTGCAACATGATTATGTTTAGTGAAATCAGCAATTGCAATAAAACTAGTAAATTTCAAATCGTTCGATTCTTCGTCTTTAAAATAAATAGCACAAAGGTGAATAGTACATTGGGCGTTCGCCCAATAAACGCCTTGAACTGCATCCTGCACAACGAAAGAATAATTCTCCGAAAAATCACAGATTATGATGCATTCTGTAGCTTTTAAATTGCTTTTGACGTGTTGTCATTCCAAATATCACTGCAATTGGTTTATTAGCTTTTCAAAAAATTCTCAACAATATTCCTTGATCTCAGGAATGGTCAGAGGTTTTGTATCGGGAGGTGCTGGTTCTAATATGTGCTGTGTTTAGTAAGTTCTTTAGAATAATGTTGATCAACCTTCTTTCTAGCGAGAATGTTCTTTTTCTTCGCATTTCAAGCTTATTGCATATTGCATATTAGCTTATTGCGTGCTCTCAACTTAGTTTTCTAGATGCACTTCCGCAGTTATTAATTGAGAGCTTTCGATGCCTGTACTATTTTCGCATTAGTATAATTGTGTGTATATTGTACCATCAGACTCTATGCCCAGGGAAGTCGAGAAATTTTCCAACCCGAAACATTCCTAGACCGGACCGGGAAATGGAACCCAGCCACCTCCACCATGGTCTTGTTTTGAAGCTGCGCCTTTACTGTCTAAGCTAAGGGAGGCCCGTTTCGAGAATATCTAAGTGTCATTATTTGATTTATTGAAGAATAATAGATCTATGGAATAAAAACCAAATAACCAGAAAAATTGCCAACATATTCAGAGACCATCGTACACGTCTAAGCTCTTCTGAAGAAATTTTGACAAATTCATGACCAACCTATTCTACGATAATGTCTAAGATGCTTGATTGGATTTATTGATCTCTTCGTAGTCCTCATGCGATTCGATCTCGCAAGAAGTCTCACTAATTTACTCCCACAACAAATCTATATGTTCGA